ATGCAGGGATGTAAACCACAATCTGTTAAGAGCTGCGGGGCCACAAGCGCTCCAATTCACAAATGCACAAAGAAGATGTCAGTTTAGCACCTGTGTCTTACAAAAAGGGGGCTGCGAGAGGAGTGTGTTTACTGGCAGGAACTAAGGCAAAAAGCTTCTGAAAAATTGCAAAAGTGAAACCCAGAGATGGTCTGACCTGCATTCGAAAGGTCTTGTGGCACTTGCATCACTTAAATGAGAACCTTTGGGTTTGACAAAAGGAGCGCTGCTATGGTCTTTGGTTTAGATAAGGCACCTGACCAAATAAACAGCTCCTTGCATATTGTAGATAAACTGCTGGTACATGGTAGAAAAATTAACAAGGCAGCTAACGACATGGTGCTTCTTCCAAGATGAAACAATATTCTACTAACCAAGACAATATAGGAAAAGAGGTGTATATAGCCTAGCACAAGCCAGTTAAAACATATTCTGGTATTATATGCTAAACAGAATCAATTAGGCAGTGGTCATAGTCTGTTGACCTTAAATGTAAGGCAATAATGTAAATGACAAAGGGAGCATTACAGAGTTCTGGTTTATCAAATATGAGTATTAACTATTACACACAAACATCTTACTGATCAAATAAACATAAGCTATTACAAAAAATATATTCAACTTTGGCCATAACCACACTCGTAGATTAAAAACATTTGAGGAAAAAAAAAGATCATTTACAGAGTAAATTCAACATAATTAGACAAAATACAGTCTCTTTGACGCCCACCCTGTCAAAAAGTAATTCTTAGGCATGTTTTAATGGCACTCGGTATGAGCCTCAAGAGTTAAGATGTAGACAGAGGAGAGCTGTACTACATCTCATCTTCCTGATATGCCAGCTCAAGAAATCCTGTACCAGTGTGGGTTAATTTGGCAGAGGCCTTATGACACCTGCTCCTCTATTACTGAAGAGGGCAAACGGTCGGCTGCTTTCAATGGGTCCGGCTTATCTTCAAAGGCCTACTGGCTCTTCCATGCGTGGCAGTGAGAGAGCAGTGCAAGAGACTGGAAGGGCAGCCTGCCAGACAGCTCTAACATGCCAGACTGAGCACAAGGGGAGCTGCAGCTCGAGAGTTTAACCTCTAATCTGTGCATATTGGTTAAGGGGTACTGGCATTTGTCCGGGAGTCATCACACCATGTCTGGACTCAAGCTGCTTGAAATTAAAACTTGTTCACCCTCTACTTGGCTGTTTATTACATCTAAAAAGGCAAGTCAAAGCATTTGGATGGTGACGTTGCTTGAGACTTATGAGATGCAACCTAGGTGAGAGTATGAGGTAGTCATTATTTCTCCACCTGAACAAAGGCAGATCTCTTCTCTCCAGTCAAACAGGGTAGCTTGGTTGGTTGGTTTGGATGTTATTATGGCTTGTGACAACCATGATCAGCATTTTATAAGGCAAAGCAGAGAAGCTATAAATCTAGAACAGATGTAAAATTGGAGAAAAGTGTAAATATCAAAAGTTAAAATGTAAGAAAAATAAAGGAGATTCAGTCTGTTGCCCCCATTTTGGCATAGTCACTTTGGTGATGATGGCAACGGAGTGAAATCCTCCAGGAGATGAATAAGGAAGAGAGGAGTAACAGAGGAGCTGAAAACAAAGTCTATACTGCTGAAGGTGGTGTGGAGGCAGCCAGATGACGACGTTCATTCCTCAGCCTTCCTTTGCATCTGTGGATCTCCACCATCTCTCTCCACAGTCCAAATCTGGGAACCATTTATTACAACAGCACACACTTCTTGGGGTTCTTTTTCGTGACTGGATACAACACTGCCCTCACAGCTTCAGCAAACACCTCCCTTACACCATCCTGCAGCAGAGCAGAACACTCCATGTATTTAACAGCCCCAATCTGCTTGGCCAGGGCGTTGCCCTGCTGCTGGGTGGTAGGAGCCAGGCCCTGCTCCTTCAGCTTCTTCACTGTTTCTGCATCACCCCTCAGGTCCCTCTTGGTGCCCACCAGCAGGATGGGCACGTTAGGGCAGTGGTGAGACACCTCGGGGTGCCACTTGTGCCTGACATTGGCATGGGAGGAAGGGCTGCCAATGGAAAAGCAGATGATGAAAACGTTGGTCTGGGGATAGGAGAGTGTGCGCAGGCGGTCATACTCCTCCTGGCCTGCTGTGTCCCACAAGTTGAGGCTGACAGTGCGGCCATCCACGCTCATCTGAGCGCTGTAGTTGTCAAACACTGTGGGAATGTATTCTTCGGGGAAGGCATTGGTGGTATAAGAGATAAGTAGGCAGGTTTTACCGACTGCCCCGTCACCCACCACCACACACTTTATGGTCTGCATCCTGCCTACGACCACTGGGGCTGCAGCACCTGACAACAGAAAAAACAGCACCTGGGTAACTTATAATTACAATACTCCGTGTCTTGAGAGGCTAATCTATGCTTTTCAAACCCAATGAAAGGAGTGTGATTCTTAATCTTGAACTGACAATGGTTAAGTTGGCGATCAGTAACTTTGTAACAGTTATTTTTACAGTACTACAACTTTTTTTCCCACCCAATTAGCCGAAGAGCTAACCGCCGCCAACGTTAGCTCAACGACGTAATTAATGTTAACGTACAGGGGTTAGCTACAGTTTCTGCCGTCCAAAACTAGCCAAAGTCTGAAGAGTTCAAAGAGCTACGTTAACTAACTAATGGTCCTCGAACAAAAGACAACGAGTGAATCAAAAGCGAGCCGCTAATTTTCAGCGTTACTTATTTCGCACTGCTCACTTATGATACTAGGCGTTCCCCCGGTGGCTAGCATCAAGCTAAGGAACTAGCGCACTTGGTAGCTAACATGCTAGCTAGTTAGCAAACAAGTTGAAAGTTTATTTGCCAGCCACTTCTCAAAAAGTTCTTATCGTGGCTCGATAACCACCTACAAGTTACTCTAAAAATTCTCTTCTGTTCTAATTTATGTCTCAAATGTAGCAAATAGCGATAACAGTAAAAATTAAAGGATTTTGTGACTTACCGCCACTTGGCTTTCGATCTCTTTTTGCCTGGTATAGTCAATCACAGCCGCATCCGGGGAGCTGTCCATTACGTAAAAATCGACGTACGGAAGCAGTGCAAACTGGTAGTTGTAGTTTTATTTTGTGATTGTCGTTCCCTTGACACTAGATGGCGTTGTTAAGCTGTTTTGCTTTACTGGGATTTTTTCCAACTCCCTTGTGGCCTGTGTTGAAAACATACGGTACGAAACATACAACCAGCATGGAAATAGTCAAAGTTAATACCACTGTAATACGAATTTCAACTTCAACAATGGCTGTAACTGGTGCCAGAAAATAGTATGAGAATAACAGGACAGGTTCTATCACTTCTGCTATCTTAAATAGTGATTGCTACCTAGGTGTGTGAAAGTATGGAGCTTTCATTCAAGTAAAAAAAGGCAATACTTGAGCACAGAAAAACTCACTTACAAGTAAAGGTCCTTGTACTGAAGTAAAAACATTGGAGCCAAAATTTAATTTGAAACGAAAGTAAAAGTAATGCAGATTGGCCTCTTTCAGTGTGTTCTTTAACATGCATCAACATGTACAGCATACACTATTAGGTATCTGTAACACAGATTCATATTTACATCTTACATTTTGTATTTAAACCCTTAATCTGCAAATACACAGCTGTCAAATAAATGTGGGGTGAAAAGTGAAATCATATTAAAATAATCCTGATGTACAAGTACAGAGTAGCTGGAAACTGGAATACTCATGCACCTCAAACTGTAGTTAAGTGGAGTATTTGTCTGATTTATTTTGGTACTTTCCACCACTGCTCCTATCAGTGCATAAAAAGTCCCCAGTCATGCACACAAGGTCATATTTCACAGTTAGATTTGTGAATGGAGTCTAGCATGATATTTTCCGCATCAAACACCATTTATTTATATAAATGCAAAGATGTTTTCAGACAACTTTATATTGAATGAATGAGACTCCTTGACCATAATAATTAGCACTTACCTATAATACTTGTATTACACCTTGCAAAAAGTATAGACATGTTGCTCAAAAGTGAGAGCTGTTGAAACAGATGTCTCTAACCTGCACTGACTTCCCATCTAACACTTTAAATCCAGTCAATCATACTGCAAGTGAGGGAGACCGCTGTTGAATTTTACCAGTCTGTAAACATTTCAAAATGACTCCAAATGTATGGATGCCAAGAGGCTGAACTGCTCTGACTTCACCCTTTCTCTTGAACTTGCCACATTCTTGCAATTAAATGCCAATGTGTCACTGTGTATGTATACATACCCCACATGCAAAAGGCCCTGAAACAACCCTGTCTCCTGGACCGCATCCTCTCTTTGGTTAGCTGTGGTCCTAAAGTCCATATATCACTTATTCACCTTGGGACAAGTCATTATTCTCACTAAGCCAGTGCTTTCAGATCAATGCAGAATACACGAAGGCAGCTAAAAGCAGCACCACTTTAGACTCCTCTGTCCTGCACCCCTGGAGACCCGTTGATGATGTCACCTCTATACACTGAGGCAGGTTAAGAGGCCAGCGCTGACCGACAACCGGACACTCGAGAACACAAAGAGGCACCGGTTTATTGCCTTTCCCAAGAGGTTCTGGCGTCACTGCGGCCTATAAAAAGAGAATTCCCACTGGGACCCTACACCCACAGTCACCCTCCACCCCAACCCCTAGCACCCCACTATTCTGCCAAGAGATTCCCCGGGACGTCTGTAGCATTTCCATGACAACAGCCACTGACAGAGATGGGGGAGACTGTGTCAAGAGATGCAGCAAGAGGGAGTTCAGACGAGAGGGACGGAGAAAAATGAGGGTGACAAGAAGACAGAGGACATCAAGATGCAAGAGCAGCAGTTGATGGGGAAGAGTGGAGACCTTGAAAGCGAAAGCAAGTGTATGAACAGGACACACAGGTACTTTTTAATTTGACTGATGAGACCCATTCTCAGAAAAACACACTTCTATTCAGAACACCACCTTTATTCATCTTCTTTTTTATAAATCCACATAATACAGCGAATAACAACCAATGCTATTCAATAAAGTTATAGAATCTTTTTGATACAAAATAAAAATGACAAAAATTACAGTAATCACCTCCTCGTGGCCTCTTTTTCAGTTTGTAAAGTGCATCAGAACAATGAGGCCTCTCAACAAGAGGATAAACAGTTCATATTGTACCAAGTTCAGTTCGGATTGTGGGACAGCCAAGTGTGAGAACACAATAATCGCTTAGCGGTGGGGTCACAGCATTCAAAACATTTGGACAAAACTTTTTTTTTTTCCATGCTATAGATTGAAACAGTTTCCCAAAGCATACTTATACGGACTAGGCACAGAGTAAAGTCACTTGGTTGTGTTTTACTTCTATTCTATATGTGAACTCTAGGAAAGGTGGTCTTGTGGTGTCCTACTGCCTGCAAAGGACACAAATAGGTGTAAAAAGAGGTAGGATTTATTCTGCTATTGGGTGAAGCACATGAGATACATTGTCCCCTAAGCTCCCTGTGCAGCTCCCTCTCACATATACAGAACCTAAGCACTCAGAACTACATACAAATTTCATAAAAGTTGAATTTAGATGTCCTAGAGCTGATTAAGACCAGAAGTCTGACTGATGACTCGCACTCTTCACCCACACCATTTCTATTAGACTGGAATCCATTAAGGCATGACAAGTATGGGGAAAAAAGTGTGCAGTACAAGCACTTATTCCCTCCCATCACTTCCACAGTGGCGGAGCAGCAGTAGCTCGAGGCATTTTGGGACCAGGTATCCGTGAAGCTGTAGGTATTTTAGAGCTAACAGGAGAGGAGCTTGTGCTTGTCGTCTTGGCAGTTTTATTTCGGGCAGCAGATATGACAGCTGTGCGTATGGTCTTGGCCGTGGCAGAGGACGAGCTGTGGGTGGTGCAAGGCTGAGACGACGCCTGTGTCTCAGAGTTCGGGGCGAGTCGTTTTGACACACGGAGAGGGCTTCCTCTGACGAAGGCCTGCTGGGTGCTGCCTGAGACTTTCTCTGGTATGGATCTGTCAGAGGTCCTGCGGGTCAAGGTGGGCTTCCCCGGAGTCTGTGGCACACTAACAGTCCTCTCCCGGGTGCTATTACTGCGTTTCACCTCTGCCTGAATGGCAGCAGGCCGTGTGGCAGGAGATGAGCGCATGGATATGCTGCGGGGACTAGACAGCCGGCTGGGAGTGAGTGTGTTAGCAGGGCTCGGGGCTCCATTTGAAGGCTCAGTTTTGGAGCGCACCCTGGGAATGCCCGTAGTATTGGAAGTTCCCACACGTGACACGAGTCCCCTTTTGGCCCCTATTCCACTACGCACAGGGATCTTCACGGTTCGAGTCTCCTCCTTTGATGTAGGAGACCCTGGAGTTGTCCCCGCCAGAAGGTCACCCTCCCTCTCTTTCCTCCACTTGGAGCAAAGGCTTGGTGCGGGTCGTGGGAGTGGGGAGGTTGGGGGTGACAAGGCATCATAGGATCTGAGGCCTTTTACCAGAGTGTGGCACTCTAATGTTTCACCCACGCGGGAGAAAGGCCTTGCTGTCTCCCTCTCAGGACTTGGCAAGTCTGAGTATTCCTCTGGCTGCGACTGGCTGAACTCTGGTAGACTGGAGGGCATCCAGTTCTCCTCTGCAGGTGTGGATGCCACTTCTGTGTTAGAGTGCTTTGTTAAACCTGCATCAGGCAAAGGCACCACAGCACTTGTTGTGACGGTGGGCGTCTCTCTCATCTGTGGCTGTGCCTGGACCCTGTCTGGAGTTTTTACAGATGATTGTGATTGGCTCTCAGATCTCTGGTACCTTAATGATCCAGTCCTGGTGTCAGTGTGGGAAAGTATTCCACTTGTATGAAGAGGGTGAGGTACAGACTCATCCACACAAGAGCCATTAGATTTACTCTGAACAGGGCAAGTATTGTCTGTCACCGGCTGGCCAAACCTATGTCTGTGACCTGGGGTCTGGTTTTTAACACAAAGGGCAGATTTGTCAGTGGTTGGTACAGCAACGGCGTTTGTGCAGGAACTGGGTGAAGATTCAGTGGTCATTGAAACCACATGTTCATGCGAAATCTCAGCTTCTTTTTCAAGTCCTGTTGTCTTTGATTGGTCTTGCAGCACATAAGAAATACTCTCACGTCTGTGCTGCTTGACTGTGAAGCCACGTCCATGCTGAGAGTGACCAAATGTAGCAATGTGCGGGTCCTGAACTGCCTCCATGCTCCGGTTAGTTGCCTGGGTGTGATGAGACCTGCTCCCTCTGCCCAGAACGGGGTCTTGGTCGATGGGCGAACATGTGCCGTCAGTCTCTGGGGAGCTGCAAAGCACAGCCGTAGTCTCGTGATCAGAGGAGCTGTTGGAGTGATAACTGGAGGATGTAGGGCTGCTGCCCAGCTCAGGGAAGCTCTTGAGCCCAGGTGAGTTATGGTGATGAGAGTGTCTGCGGGACTCTGAGCTTCTCAGGCTACGTCGACTCCAAGTGTAGCTCAAGTTCTTCTCCAGGAGTTTCTCCAATTCATCTTGGTTGTCCTGACTGTGAGGCTCTCTGGCGAGGCTGAGGCCCAGGTCCAGCCCTGTACAAATGGCCAGAGAGCGACGCTTTTCCCCTATCTCACGTTGACGCTCTAGACGTTTCTGCTCCTTCAACTCCCGCTCTGCATTCTCCTGTAAGAAAGGTGAGAATAAATGACTTGCCTGTGACTCTCAAAGTTAAATCAAACTATTTCTGACAATATGCATGTTTGTATTGAAGATATATCAATCACTTTTCAAGTCTAACCTGGACAGCTTTTTGGAAGCGGTAGCAAAACGAATGGAAGACCCGACAAGCCTCCTCGAGTTTGAATGTGCTGTCATCTTCACAGAAGAACTCCACCAGAGCCTGACTAGACATCCTCATGCCTTCCACCTCATCCTCTGCCTCCTTCAGACGCTCCTCAGCCACCTGCACACAGGCATATTTTACACAGTCATCTTTCAAAACAAGCCAATAGATAATGTTTTAATAGAGTGCTGCAGGGATGATGGGTTTTTTTGTAGGCCGATCTGGAAGTTAGCGTCGCTCCTGTTCCCTCAACAAACCGCTAATGGGATTTTGGATAATTGCAGATAGCTAATAGGCTTTGTGGCAAACCAAAGTTTATACTTTCACGTTTGGTTCAGCAATATAATCTTCACAAATGAATGCCACTTTCATGATTTTTGAAGCGTAAATGTAGTTGCCAGAAGTAAAAAGCTAGCATTAAGCTATAGATGATCTACACCATGATCACTTGACTTCTAAAACGAGGCTGTAAAACCACGTTCAGCATGACGACATTCTGTAATCTCATTAAGCCACTTGTTAGCAACTGCCTTTTATAGGACACATAGAAGCTTTAAAGTTCACAAGTGTGGTATTTACAGACATATTTTAGTACATCAAAGAACAAAACATGAAAGTCTCTTAAGCTTGTGTTAAGCACAGACCTTGAGATTTTAAGACGAGGGAACCGGAATTGCAAAAATGCTAACTCATTTCCGCGTTTTAGGACTCATTCCTGCAGCACTCTCTATACATTACGGACTACAGTTCATACCTCTAGGAAAGGTTGTGTATGCTGCTGAATCTCTGTCTCAGTCTGGATGTTTGCCTTGAGGGCCACCACTCTGCTTTTTAACTTGGATAAGTCCTCCAGCACGGACTCCTCACTTAACCTGCAGAGAAGGAGAGGACACAATTATATATGGAAGTGTGCAGAAATAGCTGTGACGCATGTCTATGCACCAAGACAAAAAAACATTGGAGGGTATTCTTTACTTTTAGAAGCAGAATAAGGGTTGTCATTTCTTAGCACTTGGCAGATAAACTCCTGCAGAGCTCGGAGTATCAGTGTTGTCATGACCCACTTTCACTGATGCAGCTAGCTATTGCTAACAGCTGGGCGCCTTGTTCTAATACAAGAATGCAATAGATTTATATTACAGTTTGTTTGTTTTAGTAGTCTGTCGGGGTGCACTGATGTTATTAAGCAGGGCTTGTACGCTACCTCAGACACAGTCGCTGTAGGATGTGAGTTTTGGGAAGAGACTGACCTGGAGGCGGGGCCAACATGGCCTATTTGGCTGGGAAACGACAGTAAACTCTGGTCCTTTTTCACAGCTTCCTGCGGAGACAAACACAAATGATTATCCAGCTATTGTTTCAAAAGAAGCAACACGTCATTTGCGAATGTTGACAAAATCATATGCTCGGCGGAGCAGTCTGGCTAGAGATGCTACTGTTCTCTCTAAACACTTTTGTGGTCAGAAACAATTGTTTCTTGCTCTGTAAGTATCTTCCCCAAAATGTTTTGAATCAACAATATTAACACTCCTTTTCCACACAATGTACATCCTCTTCATAAAGAATAGTGTTCACATTTTAAAAAGGGAGATGCCTGACACATAAACAACTGTTTTCCCTTACTAAATGGATATTGCAGGATGTTGTTTTTTAATTTTTTCAGATCTTACCATAGCAACAAAATGTAGCAGATTCATGCCCGGCTTGTTGGCTTTGGTGTCAGCCAGTTTGAGCAGCGATGAAATGCGAAAACCTGCGGCATTCCCAGCATATCCACCCTGAAAGACCACATACAAGGTCAGAATAACACATAACATGTGACAACTTTAAACAAACAGTGATACAAAACCCAGGTGCACAGTCAGAGTGACGCCCCTGAACACACACCCAGACCCCTTGCCGCTGGTGTATTGTACGCAGATAAAAGGAGTGATCCTTCTTTGTCGGGCTGAAGAAAAGAGAGTAAAACAAATAAAATAAAGAAGCACTTACAGCGTTCATGTAGTTCCCCGCTTTCAGCACCAAACGAAGGATGGAGTGTAATTCAGGACAGCTCAGCAGTTCTAGGAGAGTAGACGGAGATTCAATATAGTGCCTCAAGGCTGGAGAATAATGAGGATGAATGTGTATGCAGCTGACATCAAGGCCTTACAGTGAGTCAGCAACTTTGTTTTGGAGAACTGACACTCAAAACTGACCAGTGAACTTAACTTTTATACAAACAAAAAGTTCCTCCTTAATCAGTTAACTGAATGCTAAACACATTTGCATCCTGGGTAGACTTAAATAGGAGCATTTAAAAGGGACCTTTATTGTACTGGTGTACACAACTCCCTGCTGTTAACTTTACCTCTGGCCGCCTCCCTCAGACATCTGGCTGCCACACACAGAGAGGTCACCGCAGGGTCAAACTCTTGTTGCAGGATCATGGCATCCAGACGAAGCCGAAAGCTAAATGAAAGACGAAAAAAGGATGGATGATTGGACAGGAGTGAGTGATGGTGGAGACAAAAAGCACTTCTGATCAATCATCAGTTAAACAAGCACATGTCATAACATGGTGAAACATGTCAGCAGGACAAGTGTGGCGTTAAAACAAAAGTGAAAGAAATTATAAGGCTAAAAAAAACAGTTGGAAAGTACTGGGGATATTCATGGTCATATTATCCAATCTGGGACTAAGGGTGTACCTGGGGACTTCCACCAACAGCAGCAGGAAAAGATCAGGCTCTCCAAGCCAGCTCCGCTCCCCACTGAACCTCCTCAGGCGGGACTCCTGAGAGAGAACAGATGCTATGTGAAATCTGGGACGCAGATTCGATTGAAAAACCCCAACATGCCGTTAACAGTCAATTCCAATATCTTTCAGTGTGATCCTTCTCCGGAAACAGACCACATCATACGACATGGTGTAATGGCAAACTTTTGATCATCCTAACCAGAGCCAGATGATGAGTAAGAGAAGAGGGAGGGGAATGGAAGGGGGTTGTCACTGTTGTATGCCAACAAAAAAAAAGGCACTTTACCTCCTCTCTGTCAGGCAGCAATTTGCAGAGCTCTGCGAGCTTCTCCGCTCCGTAACGGTCCCCAGCACCGTGCCTGATATCCTCAACTATCTCCTTCGCAGGCCTGCGGAAAAATGACAACACACATGTTTCTGGTATGACATCATTGTTAACATGAGATGGGGTTTTCAGCTTGACACCCCCTCCCAAGAAAACCCAAGAGCAGCTCTTTGTTTTGCTTCTATCAAACAATGTTTAGGCTTATCCCATTCTTATCAGTCAAAGTGTCGAGGAGAGAGGGTTGGTTGACGCCACGCCGGCGACACAGAGTGGCATATCCACTGGGCAAATAAAAGGCAGACATGCAGAGAAACTGTCTGAGAGGCCTTGGGATGTCAAGGTGAAAGAAGAGAAACCAATCTGACTGTTTGACCTCTGGCTTACTTCCTCTGAGTGACACATCTGTCCAGCAGTTTTCCATTATCCCCACTCCTCCCCCTTTACGTTACAGCCCATCACACATGCTCGTACTCCATTATGTGCACGCTACTGTGTGCGGCTTTTCTTCTCCAACATACTCTTCTCATTCATAACTCAACATTCACATCCATATTAAAGTCTTTGACATCAACACTTCAGGGTTTACCTAAGGAGACACTGAAGATAAAATATTTTCAGAAGAGCTCCCTTTCAAAATGGAAACATGGTTTAAAACTCTTATTGTGATTTTTTGTTATCTGTCCCAACTAGTTCTATTAAAAACACAGTGCTGAGTGAAATAGCCTTTGAACCGAACTATCACAGAATAAAGGGATATGGAAGTGACTACTAAGACAGTGACAATACAAACCCATATTTGGTTTAAACTACACCCATGATTCAACAGTAGCTCCGTCTGTGTTAAGAGAGCGGGCAAATAAGCTCCCAACAAGACAAATGTTTGTATGCACAAGAGGCATAATGGCTTTCCCTACAAGTCTTGACAAATCTGGTTTACAAAAGAACGCTCTTTAGTCTCTGAACATTTTACACACACGTGGAGGCTTGACAATAAAGCAACTCAGCACTTCTTTTCCACGTCTTTGTATCATTGCTTCTACGTGCAAATGCTGCGATTTTTTTCAACATTAAAATACTGATCACAGTGTTTCAGACATTAAACTGTGTGTAAGTGTGCCAAAGGTTTCCAACAAGTCCAACAAAAGGGTCCACATCTCTCCTTAGTCACTGGTTCAAGGTCCACATAGTGACACATTAAGCATCATGGCCATGTTGTCCAGCTAGTTTGCTGTCTCTGCCCAGTAGCTGTCCATTAGTCACACATTTTACAGTAGGAAATGGTGCTTCAAAATAAAATCTCTGTGCCAGAAATTTGCTGTACTTCCAAACAAAGTGTGTTTTTTACAAGCTTGACACATGTGCGAGTCACTTGTGGTCCATTCAGAATGAACCCATGACCTACTTTTGGACCACGACCCACCATTTGGGAACCTAGCTTTAACGATTATTAAAACAGCCCCATTCATCCCAAGAAGTGAAGCTTTGTTTGAGCTAGGCAAGCATGCTAAACAGGCCTCAGGGGATGGATGAATATGACAAGCCACCAGCGGGGTCTCTCTCTGTAGGGGGTAGCTTTAACATTAGACACTCTTTAAGGGCGTCAGCAGGTGTCAACTCTGACTCCTCAGGCTATACCCGGTCACTTGCCCACCACCCTCCTACAAGATCCCCAGTCCTGCACCCTTCCCTGCACCTGTCCCCTGCCATATAGTCGTGTCTGCTCCCTGACACCAGACATCCTCTCCCCTGATGAGACTTCACACTCCTGACACACACTCAGACACCCTTCCAACTTTGATATACGGCCACACACTCACAGTTCAGCTCAAGTGAAGTACTGGTCTCCAGGGCACAGTTGTACACACTTCTGTTTCCTGCTCTTCAAACTACTTTGAGTTTTGACATGTAGTGACCTCACGGCAAATGGAGACAAAAAGGCCGACAGTTGAAGCTGTTCAAGTGCATTGTGTTGTTAGGATTTGGGCTGTGATTGATTAGTCTGCCAATTATTATCTTGATTAATCAATAAATTGTTTAGCCCAGTAAATAGGGCTGGGCAATATATCATTCATGATGTGGAACAAGATACAGTGAAGTGATGGCAACCTGAGCAGAGAATAAAATCACCCTCCTTCTGTGTGTTTTGTTGTGGTAGACTTGAGGCCTTGTGTGCAGGTTGGTGCATGAGTGTAGCCCAGTAGCTAGCTCAGCGCCACCACTTTACACTCTGATCACATGGCAGTTAGTGCTGGTATTGGGACAGCATCATTCCAGTTCCCCCCTGGTTTAGACCATTAGCTCTGACAGCACTGTTGCCATTGTTTAGCTTTGTTTACGGAGTTAGCACCATTAGCTGCTAGCCGCCTGCTCAGCCACCTCCATATCCAGACAACTTTCCGAACTTTCCATAGTTTTCTAGCTGTTCTGTTTTAACATCTCACTGTGTAAATATTGAGTGAAAGCACCAACAGTCAATCTTACAATATCATCGATATCGAGGTATTTGGTCAAAAATACTATATTTGATTTTCTCAGTATCGTCCAGCCCTACTACTAAATGTTTGACCAACAGCTCAAGCCCAAATATTTATATTTTGCAATGATAAAAAACAGAAAAAGCAGCATATTCTGGCATTTCAAAAGCCAGAACCTACAGATGTTGGCATTTCTTATTCTTTTGGCTCTAGTAAGTAAAAAAGAGGCTTACAACTTAAACTGGCGTAGAAATATCCCAATGTTCATACTGCGTTTGGAGTCCAACAGGGAGATCTGTAAAGAGGCAAAGGACACAATTAAGGGGAGGAAAAGAGCAAGAAATGTCACTGTTTTTACAAAGGGCTGAAACTACAACTGTCATCCTCATGATCTCACCTCCTCCGGGCTGTCCTGGGGAGATCTGCATCGCAGCAAAGCAGACCGGCGTCTCAGGGTGCTGGTTCTGTCCTGAGGCTTACTGTCCTTCTGACCAAACAGCTCATCAAGAGAGTGGAGGTCAATGGGGAACTCGTCCTCTCCCGGGGACGCCCCGGTCCACACGCTCTTCTTCCCCTCCACCCTCTCTTTGGGGATGCGCTCCCAGTTCAGCTTCCTCAGCCGGCTCCGGCGGGCACTGTCCACCCGGCTAAAGGGCGAGGAAGGCGCAGGTGGAGGTGGAGGTGGAGGAGGAGGGGGAGGAGGCGGTGGTGGAGGTGCTAGGGGAGGCGGCGGAGGGGCGACCAGCACCGGACGCGACTCCATGGCTGTCACTTCCACAGTGTCAGGGGCGACAGCGGGAAGGGCAGGCTGTGTTCCATGAAAGGCACGAGATTCCTTGATGGCCACGGTCAGGTTGATGAGCATAGAGGCTGTCTGGGTTTCAGAGGGAGGGGAGACGGTGGGTCAGGAGTCTCAGTGACGTCTTTTCCAGTTTCCAGTGAGCTCTAGTTCAAAGGTCCATTGATAGTTCCAGCCTAGAAAATGAGACAACAAAAGTCTTATCTCAGATGTTATTGAACACAAAGAGAGACAAGGACTCAGTATCCCGGAGTGTTGTTACAGCATGTCATCGACTTTAACCGAGGCCAATGACCTCACCTAAGTGTGTCCAACACCTGGCCTTACTTCTCCTTTCATTAGCATGACTCCAATGTGACTGACACAACAAGTAGTTGGACCTAAAAAAATGTAACCCCTGGTTCAACCTTTAGTGGAAGTTCAAGGCATATTGGGGAAAGTACTAGCTGAACAAGATGAGCTCTCCACCCCCTGTACCCTCTGCGGGCTGTTTGAGCAGCTTGTCCCATCCTGTTCAGTTTCACCTCACCGCCTGCTCACACACACACACACACACACACACACACACACACACACACACACACACACCTCTCCCTTCTAATTAGAATACACGGAGACACCACAGGCAAGGTGAGATGCACAGATAACCACAAGGATGAGAAATAAAGGATTGCAACTTGAAGAAATCATGACTTTGAGTAACCTTCCCTCGTTATGGGAGGTTAACATCTGAAAGCTGTCTGCGCACATGCACCAGCAGGTTTTATACAGGATTAGTGATGCAATTAGGAGTGACTCAGAGGTTTCAGGTGTCTGGTGCAAGGAAAACTCTTTAATCATGACATGGCTTAGCATCTGGCCAAACACACATCCTCTAGTCTTTCGCGCTCCTGACATGAATCACAACTTTTGGGAAAGTTGAGGGATGCACGTGATGGCCAGGCTGTTCCACCGAGCGCCGCACGAGCGCGCTGCAAAAACCTCCGACGGTGATCTCACCCTCCATCAGTTAATGAGATCTGTATCTTGACAAGCGATAAATTATTTAATAAATCTTGTTGCTCAAGAGTTTCCAGAAAAGACTGGAAGTTACGGGAAAAGTTGACAAACAAATAAAAATAAAAATAACATCAACTTTTCTACGATAACTTTTAATTTAAGGAATTTAACGCCATTTTTCATGTTGACATTTGGTTTACTCCAACAAACACTGGTTCTGATAAACTTGCAGTTCATTCCTGTGAATTTTAGGTTTACCACATATTAAAAGTCTTCAATGCTAAAAGCTTCATTTAAAAGTTGACATAACATTGTTCAATGAAATCTCATACCTGATTCAGGACAACCCATTCAAGTTATTTCTCTTACCTGCCGTTAACGGCTGCACTTCAATGACGTAACCCCACACACACCGACACCAGCTCGAGGTTTAATTGACTTTAAAAAACAAACGCTTCAACTCCAGTTTTTAGTTTCCTGTATCTTCTTTATCCCAGTGACTTGAGCCGCTCCACTCGCTGCAGTCCTCTTGTCTTTCCCTACTTGCAGGGAAACTTCCACACAGTTCATCAGGAACGCGCAGATGCGCGCGCCCGCTCGCTGATATGCCTGGTATCCTCCCAGTTTTCCCATGGGCGGATTTAGGGATTTCAGGTGGGAGGACACTCAATCTTAACTCTACTTTACTCCGCTTTTAGATGAGATGTTGTGATGTCTGGTGTGTTTACCGTGTTTTAAAAAAAGCCTGCATAGAAGTTTTAAGATCCTCAGCACAATCAGTAAATTCTTGTATTGATTTAATCTTTCAGAGGAATTGCGTTACAGGTTCTGTGTTTAACTTGTAGAAAATCCTTGTAATCAGTGACACAGCTTTCTTAGGCCATTAAAGGTACACTTCCCCCTCGAAATAACTTAGTCGCTCCATGTTACCTTGAATTCATGAAGAAAACTTTGTTTCTTGTGCATGCCTCCACAGCAAACAGCAAACATATGGATTTATTGATTGATTGGGGACCAGCAAAACTATATATAAAACATCATTTTACAAACCAGCAGCATAATCCAACTTTATTTGTCCAATCTGAAGTTTTATATAGTTTCACATTGCGATGATTTTGTAAGATTGCTTATTCGTGAGTTAGGACAATATTTATCCAATAAGATTGTTTTACTAGTTATCAGTAACGGGGATATGACGACTCAGTGGGTAAAACAGAACAGCTAGAACAGTCTGACAAGTTCAGAAAATTACATCATTTCACCATATGCAGCCTTTAAAGGGACTTTATGCGGAAATTTAGGTCAAATGAGTTGTCTGCACATGGTTCTCAACATGGAGGTTGCTCAGCTGGCAGCTGGCAGCTAGCAGCCAGTGGTGCTAACTCTAAACAAAGCTGAACAACGGCAACAGTGCTGTCAGAGCTAACGGTGTTAACTGGGACTGGAGGGAGGACGTCATGCTTCAGCAATGATGCTGTCCTGATAGCAGTGCAAAGTGGTTTTTATTGTTTTAATGATTGATTGGGGACCACATTTAAGAATCAAAACATCATTTTACAAACTCTCACACAACTCCTGCAGTATAATCCAACTCTCATTTGTCCAGTCGGAAGTTTTATGTAAGTTTTTCTATAGTTTCACTGCGTGGTCCCCAATCAATCAGCAAATCAACATGTTCATCGTTTTCCCATAGAAGCATGCAAGAAAAACAAAGTTTCCCTCAGGATTTCACAGAGACACAGCATGACTAATTCATATACAAATGGTCATTTTGTCTGTGAAGTTTTCCTTTGAGTCAACTGCAGTCAGCATCCTGTTGCTCAGGCTCCAGTGCTTGTACTCTGTAGCAGTGAGCGAGCACCTGGGCATCGGCCAAAACAGTGATAGACCATCATTATGCTGACAGAAGGCTGGATTATAAATTTCAGACCCCCGGCACTCGGCTGGTTGGTCTTGCTCTGGCTGAATTCAAGTTACCACAGGGCGCTAAGTGAAGGTCTGCCTCTGCCAGGCCATTGCTTTAAAATGTGTATAACGGAAACAGCATGTGTGGACGCTGTGTTGTGGTGGGTTGTGGTCACTTATTGACGTTAGCAGACTCCATTTCTTGGTTAATGTTAGCTGCTGTTGCACATTGTTAGCGCTGCAGTGGAGCTGAAGGGAGACAAGGCACTTGGGAACGTGCACAACATCACGTCCTTTGGATTTTCCAAGAAAAATTCATCCCAAGTCTCTTATCTAAAAGTTAGTGCACAGGCTGCCAGAGGAAATCAAGAAAGTGAGTGGGAGTTGCAGTTTTTAAGTTATGTTATGACCTGTTCACCCATTGGCTGTAATTATTACTGGAAAAAAGTTACATACAGGCCCTTTAATGGCCTTGATACCTTATATTGTGCCTGTGCAAAAATGTTTGTCCAGATAAGATTGTACATGAAAGCTTGTGTCAGGAGCTGCACTGACAACCTGATAAGTCTCTGTTTCAGGGTAATCATCATAGTGGGCAGGACTCTGATCTGTAATTGGTGCAGAAGGCCTTGATCAGGCTAAGAAGAGTATGTTACTGAGAACCTGAGAGAGGGGGCAGATGGCTATCAGACATGGGAAATGGTGTCCGCATCTCCTCCCTGAACCATGAACGGGCCATAGGTGAAAGCCAAGAGACCAGAAGTCCCTCTGGGGTGCTGAAATACCCCAGGTGCTAGGATGTAAACCCATAACACTGACCTTTCATCTAAGGTGCTGGAGCGCTCCCGGCCCATGTCACCTGGTGCTCCCGAGTCTGGCTCAGGTTGCCCCTTTCACAGGCCACGCTGACAGGCAGTCGTCATCACTTCTGGGCTCTGCAGTAATTAGGGGGTTACGACCCCAAAGATCTGGCTATTGTTGTGCTGGTGCAGCAGGGCATGTTATAGTGTACCCGTGCCAGAATAAACCTCTCTCAGGAAACTTCACTTTCTATTCAGTCACTCACTTCTCAGAGTACAGTGCACTTCTCAGAATACAAGGAAATGCCACTGTTTAGAAACGGCAGCTTTATAGTCCATAAAGTTCCCGAACAACTCCGCACAATTCCACGTTACGCCAGCATTCATACAACGCGAACGCTGCAACATTGATTAATGAATAGGAAGGAGTTAACTTGGCATCCCTCACTTGTTTCACCATGACAGTTAAATTGCAAGGAGACAAAACAGTCTGTGATGTGTTTACAGGCCCACTCCCAGCTCGTACCCCCCTTTGCATAACAGAGAGCTCCAGAGCCTGTGCTTCAGTCGGCCCATTCTTTAGGGAATGAATGTGCATGAGGGTGCTCATGTGTAAGATGTGTGTGTAAATCTGTGTGAGTGTGAGGGGGAATCCATGCATTCAAGTGAAATCACACTGCATCAACATACAATGGTGAGAAAAGGGTTTTCTTGATCAAGAATTTGAGAAAATGTCTCAAAATTTCTAAATAAGCAAGCCATTACTCTGATGTCTCTTTTCCTCTTAGTGGAGACATAAGATTGAACACATAAGACCCCAACAGCAGCAACTTTGTAGGAGCTCAGTTCTTGCTTTGGTGGGGTTGTTGCAGCCATGCATCAAGTGTTAGCCCTTCTTAATCTCGCTTTGAAGTCCAAGAGGGGTTACGTAAAGGTGAAGGCTATTAGCTCCCTCCTCCCCTAACTTACACACACAATCATAGTTGGACACACATGCACCGACAAAAACACAATGTAAATGACATTTGTTTGACACAGTGCTTTTGCTACGGTGATCAAATTCCATGCAGCGACCTCTGCTGCAATCCGGTTTTCACACTGCAGAAAATGAATCCGGATGTAAAGAAATCAATACAATAGATTTTTTGCCCAGATGTCCCATTTATACAGCGTGAAAAAGTGGCTGTAAAACCATTCCATGTGAAACTATTGATAAAACCATATGGGAGGGGCGTAGTGTTATTCTGTCAGTCTGGTCGGCCTTTTGGGTATTGGCCATTTCCATGTTGAAGTAAATAGGTCAATGTGACTGCAGCTCTGCGGGGGTATTAGACACACAGAGTGTGTGTGTGTGTGCGTGCATGGAAAAAAACAAAAAAACATGCACGCACCTGGGTCTGATCCCAGACTGGGACAGTAGGTCTGGGGAGGTATTCCTAATCAAACCCAGCTTCCTCAGATCTCTCTTGGTTTCCCAGCTGCACTCAGATCACGTGCAGTTATCCAGAATAGCCTGACAAGGATCTCTGGCTTTGGTCAGACCGCCGGCATGATAAGGAGAGACAGCAAGAGACAGACAACACAGATACTCAGCCACTTGCCCTATTTTTTCCAAATTCTTTCGCACACAAACACACATATGCACTCACATACGACTGCTCCATTTATGAGAAACTCCCACACATACATATATGTTATACATGATAGTAAATGACGCTGAGGCTTCCCCGCACTGGTGCTGCACTATGTGACTTTAGGGGTTCACAGACAGGCCATTAGACACTGATACAAACATTACGGAGACAGAAAGATGAGAGGGCTGTGAGTCAAACTTGAGGAGAAATGAAACCACACTATGGAGAGCTATCTGTGGGGGCTTTCACCTACTCTGGTTTTCATCTCTCTGTCAGTGCAGGCATGCTTACAAGTTTTTTCATCCTTTCTGTTTTTAGTCTTTCTGTACATTGATTGGTAAAGTGTTTCCACTATGTGCCTTTGTAACAGTACTGGCTGCAGTTACTGCTTTATTATCGATTGAGAATGAGGCATAACTGACCCCTGTACCTTGCTTTGTTTTTGTAGTCTGTTGTAAGTGCACAGCTGATGCTTTGCTGTGTTTACCAAGCTGTCTACTGTCACAACATTTTTAGCAGTGGATGCATGTGTGCACTTGTGTGTCTGTTGTGTTGAGATAAAGTTAAATTCCCCCTGGTTGGATGGAGAGGAAGCTAGAAGAGATGTGGTCAGTTGTCGACACGTATTGTGTGTGTGTGTGCGTGTGTGTGCTGTGTTATAATTGATCTCAGCAGGGTGGCATGCAGGCTGAGGTGCTTGTGGTCAGTCGTCCTTGGGGGTTGGGTCGACAAAGTTTGTCTTTGCACATCTGGCCACTAGAGCCACTTCCGACTCCAATTAGGATTTCCTGAGACTCAATAAAGGGGATTATTGGCCTGCAAAAACACTAGGCCAGACTCTCCCACCCTCAGTCGCCTTCCTGCCCCAGCTGCTACGGTCATTACACCAGCCAGAACTACAGTCGCACTCCACTAGATGCTCACAATGACACAGTGACATACAGCGACATAGACAAATAAGCCCCTTTCTTCCCCTCCTTTTCTTGCACCTCTTTGTCTCTTTTTTTTTGTTGTTAAAAATGAAAGACTCCTCTCATATTAGAGTCTCCTCATATGTGAAATGAATCAAGCGCTCCATAAATGATGTCCGCAAAGTAATGGAAACTAAATTTCTCCCCAGCTGGCTGATGAGAGACCACAAGAGTCTGTATACCAAGCTGTGGTTGGGCACAAAGCCCTGGAGCAGA